ACATTGTCCCAATCACCAGGAGACCAGGAGTTCTAGTCCTGCCTTAGGCATGAAAGACAGCTGGGTGATTTTGGGCCAGTCACCAGGAGACCAGGAGTTCTAGTCCCCATTTAGGCTTGAAAGCTGTCTCAGTGACATTGTCCCAATCACCAGGAGACCAGGAGTTCTAGTCCTGCCTTAGGCATGAAAGCCAGCTGGGTGACTTTGGGACAATCACCAGGAGACTGTGAGTTATAGTCCCCATTTAGGCTTGAAAGCTGTCTCAGTGACATTGGACCAATCACCAGGAGACCGGGAGTTCTAGTCTTGCCTTAGGCACAAAAGCCAACTTGGTCACTTTGGGCCAATAACCTGGAGACAGTAAGTTCTAGTCCTACCTTAGGCATGAAAGCCAGCTGGTGACTTTGGGCCAATGACCAGAAGACTGGGAGTTCTAGTCCCCCTTTAGGCATGAAAGGTGTCTCAGTGAAAGAGAGAGAGAGAGAGAAAGAAAAAGAAAGACAGACATCATCTGGTGTGGTGGTGCAGTGGGTAGAAGGCAGTATTGCAGGCTAACTGCCCATGCCAACAGTTCGAATCTCACCAGGCTCAAGGTTGATTCAGCCTCCTATCCTTCTGAAGTGGGTAAAATGAGGACCCAGATTGTTGGTGGCAAGAGGCTGACTCTGCAAAGCGCTTAGAGAGGGCTGTAAACCACTGTGAAGCAGTATATGTCTAAGGGCTATGGCTATTGATGCTGGGAGGCAACTGGAGGGGGTCAGGAGGGTCTCTTCCTTATTCCTCTCGTACCAATGTCGGTGCCTTCTCTCTCTCCAGGCTGGCACCATGAAACCCACAGTGACCGGGACCAACATACAGACAGGTACACCTGGCCAGTCCTTGCAAAGGGGAAAACGGCAGAATAAACGTTCCTCCCCTTCACTCCCCTCCCAACTCTCCCCCCCCCCCAATCATATCTGCTTCTCCTGCAACCCAAGTGACCTCTCCTTTTGCTTCCAGCCACTGTGAGCGTCAACACCATAACCGGAGTCCCCGCAACTACGTTTCAACCCATCAACAAGCGGTTGGCTTCACCCATTATTCCTGGGACGCTGGCGGTGAGTGGCCGTTCCTCGGAGCAGAAAACTAAGACGGTGAATTTTGCAAAAATAAAAAATAAAAATGGCCACCTTGTATTAAAATGGGAGGGGGAGGGATAGCCTTTGGAGAAGAATAGATAAGATTGGAGGTATTGGGGTTCATTGCAGAGGCATCCAGATGTTCAAACTGGGATTGGCATTTTTGTCCATCTATCAAGTGGACACTAACCCTAACCCTTCCCAAGGTTTCGTCAATGCGTTTGTCAATGTCAATGCCTCCTTCCTTCCTTCCTTCCTTCCTTCCTTTCTTCCTTCCTTTCTTCCTTCCTT